AGTACTGTAGGGCCTATTGAGTCAGTAATGGCGACACAGAATTATGTAGCATTTTTCAGGTATATTCATCTAAGGAAGCCATGTGCAGAGTAATCCCTGAGGAATTCACAGCGTACTTGCTTCTTAAAATCTTAAATGCGAAACTTGAGTACTGCAAGACTTAAGTATTCTCTGTACAAATGCCAGCATCTTTCAGAGATGGAGGTGGTTTTTTTAGATGAAAATACCCAACTCTGTAGGAAGCTTTTGCTTATATTCTATTTGCTATATGCTTTAGAAATATAGTTTTTGGTGGACCTCTTTGTACCAAAGGCACACAAAATTTTTAAGTGGAGGCTGTGGGTAATAGTGACATCTACTGTCCAACACCAAGAACTAATTCAAAAAGGACCCAGACCGTATCTGCAGGGAACTTTCATTCTGTTTTTCCCACGTCCCTGTTGTACAGATATGTGATAAAACATTCCTTTCACCTCCACTGCCTTTGGTGTTATTTGCTCCTCATTATGCAATTTGGTGAGAATCTCAGCCTTCTACTACAAAAAAAAAAAAAAAAAAAACAGCATTTCTGGAGAAGAACATGAACTTATGAGACAGAAAGCGAATAAAGAGTGCGTGGACCTGACCCCTTGTCTGTGGATGTGTCTGCTTTGAAATGTCTTTGGTGTGCTGCTTAGTATCAATTTGACTGAAAAAATAACCCCCCAAAGACTCTTCAATTTTTCTCTTCTTGAAAGGGTTGTTTCCCACATATTTCATTCAGATGCTCTACTGAAATGATGCCAGTGGTCAAGACTCATAACTGTAGTTTCTCTGCATATTTGTGCTTGTTTATTCACTTTCCCAGTCTGATAAAGTTATCTGTGATGGCAGATCTTTAAAATTTCAGCTTTTCTTGTCTTTTTAAACATAGTCAGCAGCTCTATTCCTTCCCACTGGTAAAGGCTTGTAGCCCTTAAAACTAAGTGAACCTGGAAAGAGCCTTGGGAATAGACTAAATTCTAGGATTTAGCATAGCTTTGTAGGAGCAGGCAAGCTTTAAGAAAAGGGCTTAGAAAACATGAGTGGTTAATTGGCTTTCGTGGCCATTTCTGGCATTCTTGGGAAATGAGAGATCTTAGCAACAATGTGCAGAGCTGGCGTGATAAAGAAGAGCTTTGTATTTCTGCACCCAGGTGTTTAGATTTTGGTGACTTTTTTACTTTCAAAAGGCATCTGTGCTGATTAGAGGTTCCTCCTGAAGCCAGGGCTGTGAATATTTTGCTATCAGTGTTGCTGTCTGCCTTCAGATACCTTCGTCATCATCCCCATGTCTGTCCCTTTCCCTGTCTTATTTGGGTGCTACACTGTCACCACCCAGTGCTTTTGTTCCTTCTGTCAGAATAAAGATACGCTGATCCAAGTCCTGCAGCATCTTCACACACACACACACACAAATTGCATAACCAACAGCGATTAGTTCACTCCTCTAGGTTTTTCCCTGTTAGTCCTAGGGACAATTGCACCTCACAGTTGTCATTCAAGCCTGATATCATGCAGGTGTTTGTGCAGTATTCTCAGTGAAACTGATGTAAGGTTTCTTTCCCATAGTAATATTCTTGCATTAATATGAACAGAGCTGTAAACCACAGGCAAGGCTGGAGCTAAGGCTTCAGCATGGTTAGCGTTTGAGAAAGGGGACTGCGAGTGGATGGTTCCTGAGCAGGAGGGAAAAAATTGATTTGCAGCTTGTAAATGGGTTGCTAAATGACTTCAGCTGCTCAATTCCTTCCTTCCTACAGAGTGTGCTGATGGAATGTACAGTCTAGCAACCTTTACTCATAATTAACGTTTTCCTGTGTGGGAATGTTCCCACATTTAAAGCTTGATTCACCTCCAGATAGATGATACACATGCACATTTGTCTCTTCCTTAAAATGTGCAAAAAAGCTTCCAGATAAATGGTATCCTGTGGGCGCTGAGAGCTTAAGGGAAGGGTCAAGTGCTTAATTAATTATGACATTCATCTTAATGTGATCAGTATGCCGAGATTAGTGACATTCCTTTTTCCCCAAACATTTGCCTGTTAAGCCTTGTCATATCTATTTATAGCAATACCTCCCCAAATACCAAGAGCACATTTTCCTTTTGCCTTTCAGTGCTTTAGAAACACATATCTTGTTTACTGATCAAAACATTTATAGGAGGAAGAAGCTAAGAGGTTATCATTGAGATTTTACCTGCTTAGAAACGTTGGGGGCCCAGGTTAATATCCTGGAAGGTGCGTCTTGACTTGGATTATAATTCTTTGAAGTTAAGATTAGTTAAGTGCCACACAATTACTCAGTGTCAGTCACCAGGGTGACTTCTGAAGAAATGAGGTTCTGCAAACTCTGTGCAGATGTCAGAGAGAAAGTATAGTGGTGGGCTTGCTTTCTGCATTTGTCATCTGTCCTATGCAGCAGAAATGCTTTATTTTCCCACACCTCAATAGGCTTTCAGATCCTCAGGAAAAGGTAGAGCCGTAAAAGGCAAATGCTGTAAAAATTCATGTACGTACTTGTATGTACTGTGAACTGATACGTAACCATGATATTTGTTTCTTTCCAGCTGCATTTACCATGATAGGCACTTCCACGCATTTGTCCGACCAGTGCTCGCAGTTTGCCATACCGTCTTTCTGCCACTTTGTGTTTCCCTTGTGTGACGAGCGTTCCCGAACCCCCAAGCGGCGGGAGCTGTGTAGGGATGAATGTGAAGTTTTGGAGAATGATCTCTGCCGGCAGGAGTATAACATCGCCCGATCAAACCCCCTCATTTTGATGCAGCTGCAGCTGCCCAAGTGTGAGGATCTCCCGCGACCCGACACCCTAGAGGCTGCCAATTGCATAAGAATTGGAATCCCAGTGGAGAGACTCAACCGATGTAAGTCTTGATGCTTCATCATGGGGAGAAAGTGGAGTCTGGACCTTCAGTGCTGGTCAGGTTGAGACTGAGAGACAATGTATTATCAGAAGTGCTTTTTGCAGAGAAAATGCTGCTGAATGGACATTATTACTTTTTATGGTGTTACTACTGACCGTAGTGTTGCTTTGTTTTACAGTTAGGTTAGTGAGGAAACTAAAAGATTGTTATTTAGCACTGAAGAAAATTATCAGGCAATAAAACTCTGCCATAACACTGGTTATGGCACAGATTTGCTAAAGAGTGCAGTCCATTGCAAGGTTCCCTACCCATACACCTCCCCCTGAATTCTGACTTGAGGTCCTTGTCCAGTGAGAACATAGTTCATTTACCCACCTTATTTTGTCTTTACCTTTCTGTTGAGTTGCCCCACACAACTATGTGAATTCTAATTAAGTGTCAGCAAGCCTCAAACAAGCTGCAGAAGCTTCACTGGAAACAGTTATCAAGTAATTGCACATTTTAGGATATTTGATGCTCTTTCTGTATAGAAATCCACAACAATAACAGTTCTGCAAATCAAGCTGGGAGTGTAATTGTCTTTTGACTCACAGGATGGGTGAAAATATTCATCTTGATTCTGTGGGTTTATATTTGCACCCAGTAAGAGAAAGGTTGTTAATTGTTAGCGCAAACATTTTTTTCTGCCTGTTTCCCAGGAACGATCACCACCATCATACACAGCTCCTTGGGGAAGCTGAGCGACCACAAGGGTGTTTAAAGTGTGTTCGCCTTATTTTGAGTATCTGCTTTTTGAAGCCAGAGAAAGGAGAAGGGGTCACGGTTAAACTGAGGTCATGGAAACTAGTTCCAAACAGTAGGGCATTAGTGCTTTGGAGATGAAAAGCAGAAATAACTGAGAAAGCGATGACAGAGCCAGATCAGCCACGTAAGAGGTAGCAACCAAAAGGAATGAGAATCAAAACAACCAATCTGAAGTCTGGCAGATGGTTTTGAAAGCATGGTTGTCTTTGGCATTCAGAACTAGCGGTTACTCCCTCTAGTGGAACAACTCCTGTTAAGTATCCTTGATATTTTTAGGAAGTGGAAAGCGGAAGTTTTGACAGGGTTGGATTCCTGAGGCCTGGAGAAGGAGACTCAGTAGAGCAGAGAGTGTAATGTTGCAAACTTGTGGGAAAATGCTCAATTCGGGTGCTGTGTGTGACAGACAAGCATGCAAAAGCATGCAGCAAAACTGAGACAGAATAAAGATAAAACAAGAGTCCAGTCTTTTCTTATATACACCACTCTCTTGTATTTGCTAAACTATTTTTTTTCTCCAAAAGAGAAATGAAGGAAAAATTAGCAGTAGGAGACATTAAAAAAATGCAGTACTAATTTCTTCAAGAAGTAAGCAATGTGAGAAAATAGGATTATCAGAAGCACAAAGTGATTGTAAGTTTACATTGTTGGCATAAGGAGACTTCTACTCATCTTGTCCTGTGTCTAGAGGGCCGATCTGCATGGTGCTCGATACCCGCTTGCATTCTGTGATACCAGATGGTTTTATGTGTAGTGGTAGGGTGGGACGTTCAAGGCCAGAATTCAGAAATATCCATGGGGAGAGGTAAGCGCAGAGCTGAAATTTCAAAAAGGACCACTGTTGTTGAAATACTTACATCCTAATGTTGTTCATTTTATGGATATGTGATGGATACATTTATTGTTTTGTCAAATCCTGCGTTACAGATCACCAGTGCTACAACGGCTCTGGAACAGATTACAGAGGGACGGTCAGCGTCACCAAATCTGGGCACACATGCCAGCTCTGGGACTCGCAGAACCCGCACATCCACGACCTGAGCAGCGCGAAGTTCCCAGAGCTGGGCGGTGGGCACGCGTATTGCCGAAATCCCGGCGGCCAGATGGACGGGCCCTGGTGTTTTACAAAGAATAAAAACGTACGCATGGAACTGTGTGACGTACCTTCTTGTAGTATGTATTCTCTTTCTTTTTATCCCCCCTACTCCTGGCCTGCATCCTTTGTGGTTTTAAATGCTCCATGTTGTTAAAAATTTGCTTCACTTAGCAAGCTGTGATTTCATCATGCAGCACCCTTGTTTTGCATTGCACTCATGCAGCATCGGCTTCAGAGCAGAGCTTGTAACTCAAATACTGTGCTACTCTTTTATTATATATTGAAGGTGTAAGCAAAGACGACAATTCATGGCACTGGGGTGCTATTGCCAAGTGTCATCCATTAGCGTATTTTTGCTCCATTCAGCATCTTGCAAGCAGCAAAGATTTTCAGATCCTGTAGGGGGAGATATAGCACTGCGCTTGGTGGTAAGAAACCCAAAGCACAGAAGTAGAGATATTGTGGAAAAGGTGATTTTTATGAGAAATGCCTTATTTTATCTGCACTAGTGTTAGCAAAAATAAGCAGTAGCCTCTCTCAGTCTGTTGATACAGTCCTCTTTACTTTCCTTACTGGTGCAGACTTCATTCTAGAGCTGTTGCAGACCTAACAGTCTTCAGAGACCACAAAGCAACTTACTACTGTGGTTATTAGGGAGAAAAACATGTTTTCTGCAGCAGCAAATGTACTGTGGAAGCTATAAAAGTGGTTCATTGCAGATTTCCTGGATATCTATGGGTACCCAGAACTGATAGGAAATTTCTGAGTTACTTCTTTTTTTTTTACAGCAATAGCATTTGACATATACAATAAATTTGCAATAAATTTCTTCATTGCATGTAATGTGGCATAAAGATTACACTGGAATGTGGTTGCGGTGAAAGCAGCAGTCACAAATAGCAAAACCACGAATTGCAGAAGACAACCCTCACTGTTCCAACAAGCCTTTTGGATGTCACTGTGCAGCCCTGTCATGTCTAAACACCAAGAAAAAGTGTTTTACAAATATGGCATTTTCATCTCTTTTGTTGTAACTTGTGTTAACATGAGCACTTTAATTCTGTTAAGCACATGATGTCCCTGGCAGTGAGGGGTAAGATTTATTCTGTGCAGAAGTGGTATCTGTGGAGGTAAATTAGAGGGCAAAGTGCTGATGAATTGGCTGAAGCTGAGTTGTGCACACTCATGTTACGCTGCAGTTTATGACATTGAGACTTCATATACTATAAGAAGGGCTTACTTACTTTATATCCACTCACTCACTTTATATCTACTGAGTAAGTTAGTGCAGTGATTCTGATGCCTATATTCTGCACTTGTTACAACAAGAAACCTCAATAATAATGCAAGATACATTATGCACTAGTGCAGTCAAAGCAGACTGTATTAAATTTGGGAGACCTGCATTATCTTCACACTGCTTGCTGCTGTGTTCATTCAGATTTCTCTGAAACATTTAAAGGAAAAATACTGTGTGGGGGAAAAAAGCCTTCTGTTTTCAGGTTGTAGAGGGTTACTTTATGTCTAAAATTTGTTTTCAGTTAACAGACTCTAGTGCTTTTTGCTTTTCATTACTGTTTAAGAATGCTGATTGCAACCAGTGATTTTTATGTGCCTTACAGGCCCACGTGACAACAGCAAAATGGGAATCCTCTACATCCTGGTTCCCAGCATAGCCATCCCTTTGGTTATCGCCTGCCTTTTCTTCTTAGTATGTATGTGCAGGAACAAGCAAAAGGCATCTGCTGCGACACCCCAGCGTCGGCAGCTGATGGCGTCTCCTAGCCAGGACATGGAAATGCCACTTATCAATCAGCACAAACAGGTATTTCTTGCAGAATGTGCTTAGGCCCCTGTTTCCCAGCGTGGTATGACTTTCAGCAACTCAAATTTTTGGTGTTGAAATTGCGTCATGTTGTCAGGGATCTACTTTTCATCTTGTGGTAGCCACTACTTCAGTGGAAACCAGGTCTTGCAGATGCTATTTGTGCCTGGAAATTGTGGCCTCCAGCAATAACTTTCAGTACAAAATATTTTTTATGGCATCTGCACTCACCCACCAATCCCCATTTGCCTCTCATCTCTGTGACTAGAAGTGTTGTTTCTGATCCTGTCTTCAGCTAGCAGCTTGTTTTTGCTCCTTGAAACACTGCTGATGGTTTGTTTATTTCAAGCAGAAAGTGTGATAGGGTTTCTTTTCTAATCTGTCTGCTTCATCTCCTGGTTATCTGAGGTTATCTGGTTATCTGTCACAGAGACAGGGATTGAGTCAGAGTATGTGTAACCCAAAGTGAAACAAAACTAGCTTTGAACTTCTGTGTCTGTACTCTGAGCTCCTGAAAATACTTTTCTGGGCTGACTAAATGATGTCCATGTTAAGATCCTGTTCAGATCTACTGATGAGTTTTTAACTGTAACTTTTACTAGGCAGTGTTTCACAAAGACAATACTCAATTTGGAACAATTGGGAACATCTGTTGAGGAAACTGCAGGGGAAAAATATGGATATTACAGATTGTAACAAATTTCACTGATTTTGTTCTCCAAGAGGGAAGTTTAATGGCCAAGTCTAGGCTCTGCTGGAGTCTGGTCCAGTTCGCAGCCTGTTGGCTACTGAAATCCCAGTGTGTCCCCAGATCACCTTTTAGAGCCTCCTTGCAGCCTGACCTGATCCCTTATGCCTGGTGCCCTTTCTGCAAAGTGGTGGCTCAGCCAGGGGCTCCTCAGTCCCATGGCTGCCCAGGTTGGACCCATCAAATTCACCCACAGACTCCTCCGTTTCCTTGCCAGGTCTGAGGAGCGAGAACTCTCTGGGCTTTGCCCCCTTTTCTTTCCCGTAGCTCCTTCTTTCTTCATCCTCTTCCTTCCCTCCTGGATCAGAACCATTCAGGGTGTCCCAGCAGTGGCATTTAGTGCTGCTGCCCATGGGCAGTGGCCTCACCTGCGGCGCAATGGAGGAGAAGGGTCGTATCTGGCACTGGGGAACTGCAGGAGAAGGGTTTGTTTCTTCTTCTGCCAGGAGGGATTTTTCAGTTCCCTCCCCGGGCAGCCAGCTCCTGCGCCTGCGTCTTTCCTGATGGCTCTCGAATGGACAGTGCATCTCTGGGGAGACCTGGGGGGCAGAGGCAGTTGCTGCTAACAAGTGTCATTATTTGCCAGATTTACTCTGGATTGATTAGTCTTCTATCTTGCAGGGCATGTGGCAGCTGCTTCGTAAAAATAATTATATTCATCATCTTGCAGCATAATTTAATTTACACATCTGATAATGGTTTAACTTGTTCCAAGGTTAACTGTAAAATCAATATGCTGTTGTGAGTATACAAAAAGCTGGAAAGTCATTTTGATCCAATTTGTTTTCCTTAGAGCATCTAACCACTGGGATTTTTTTCTTTAGTAGAAGATTCTGTTGCTTAGAAGATGCTGTGTTTTTTACCATTTTTAAAAATTTGTTTTATTTCAGGCTAAACTTAAAGAAATCAATCTGTCTACAGTGCGGTTTATGGAGGAACTAGGAGAAGAGAGGTTTGGCAAAGTCTACAAGGGGCATCTCTTTGGGACAGCACCAGGTGAACAGACACAGGCAGTTGCTATCAAGACACTTAAAGACAAAGCGGAACTAGCTCTTCGTGAAGAATTCAAACATGAGGCAATGATGAGATCACGATTACAGCACCCAAACATTGTTTGTTTGCTAGGAATAGTGACGAAGGAACAACCCATTAGCATGATATTTAGCTATTGCTCCCACAGTGACCTCCATGAGTTCTTGGTGATGAGATCTCCCCATTCGGATGTTGGCAGCACAGATGACGACAAGACAGTCAAATCCACTCTGGAACCAGCAGATTTCTTCCACATCGTGACTCAGATAGCTGCAGGAATGGAATACCTTTCAAGCCACCATGTTGTCCACAAAGACTTAGCCACTAGAAATATATTGGTGTTTGATAAACTTAATGTGAAAATATCTGATTTAGGCCTTTTCAGGGAAGTGTACGCTGCTGATTACTATAAACTGATGGGAAATTCCCTTCTTCCTATCCGATGGATGCCCCCTGAGGCTATTATGTATGGCAAGTTTTCTATTGATTCGGATATCTGGTCATATGGAGTTGTGTTATGGGAAGTTTTCAGCTACGGCCTACAACCCTACTGTGGTTATTCTAACCAGGATGTCATTGAGATGATCAGGAATCGGCAGGTTTTGCCTTGTCCTGACGAATGCCCCACGTGGATATACACTTTGATGTTGGAGTGTTGGAATGAATTCCCCAACAGAAGACCAAGATTCAAAGATATACACAACAGACTAAGAACATGGGGAAACCTTTCTAATTACAATAGCTCAGCACAAACCTCTGGGGCAAGCAACACCACGCAAACAAGCTCTCTCAGCACGAGCCCCGTTAGTAACGTTAGCAATGCTAGGTACATTGGACCAAAGCAGAAAACTCAAGCTTACCCTCAACCGCAGTTCATACAAATGAAAGGGCAGATGAGGCCGATGGTCCCACCTCCTCAGCTTTACATTCCAGTAAATGGTTATCAGCCAATGCCTGCCTATGGTGCTTACTTGCCAAATTTTTACCCTGTCCAGATTCCAATGCAAATGGCTCCTCAGCAGCTGCCTCCGCAGATCATTCCGAAACCAGGCTCCCACCACAGTGGGAGCGGATCAACCAGCACGGGCTACGTAACGACAGCACCCTCCAACGCCTCGATGGCCGACAGGGCAGCTCTGCTCTCGGAAGGCACAGATGACACACACAACGGGACGGAAGATATTGCCCAGAATCCCGTCCAGGAGGAGGAGGAAGAGGAGGGCTCAGTGCCAGAAACTGAATTACTTGGGGATAATGACACGCTTCAGATGGATGAAGCAGAAATTCAATCTGAAGCCTAAGGAGTTCGGCCTTTTTACTGTAAGTTTCACTTCACTTCAGTGCATGGAGACTATAGATCCTTAGACTTAAGATCAGTGATTTTGATCTGACTAAATGAAATAAAACCAAAAACCTACACTCATATAAAGTGCAGCAATAGTGATGTACCAGGTTATTGACCGTTGTCACCATCAGTTTGCAAATATGATGGTATGGAATTGCTGGGTTTAGTCTATTTTTACTGTCCTACAGTTCTGGAGGGAAGCTGCTTTTCAATAACGTACTGTTGCTGTGCAACATATTGCAGAGTAGCATTGCACATCATGTATATCATGATATGTGAGTGTAATGTTAGTGAATTATGCTTAAACCAGTAACAAGAAAAAAAAATCAAGCTACAGTTACAGAATTGCTCTGAGCATAAAGAAGTACCCTGGATGTGATGGACAGATTAGCATATAGTATTTATCTCTCTGATATAATGGAGACGAGATTGTTGTTTGCTTTCTGAGACTGAAAAAAATAACGAGTTGAGAATACTGATCTATGTTTGTATTACAATAGTCAGAAAAGTAGGGAAACTGAACATCAGAATTGCTGTGCAGTGTCAGACCATGGGTCTGTCTAGTCTGTCTCCAAAAGCAGCCAATAGTGGCTGCTTAGGAAAGAGTACAATGACAGAGCAAACATACAGTGTTATCTTTGCCAAGGATTTTCCCAGCCTCAAGTGATTTGCAGCTTAGGGACTTCTCAAGCCAGAGATGAAGTCTTTTTTTCTTTAATAACCCTCAGTGAAATTTGCTTCCATGAATTAATTGATCCAAATTATTTTGGATCAATCACACATAAATTTAGAACATACACATGAGAGGAGAGAGGATGCTTTTTTTTTTGTCATTCCCAGTGAATGACTATCACAGAAACTTCCAGATGAGCCTGACCGATTGTGCTTGTGGATGAACATATTCCTCTGCTGCATATTTTTAGCAGCAAGCAGCCTTAATACACTCTTAGTCAAAAGAAGAGATATGGTAGGTGTGCACTAATTTAACAATCCAGCTGCATGTTGGTTGTCAAGTGTAGAAAAGGGCTCCAGATGTGTGTACTCACATTGTAAAGATGTGGTTTAGGTTTGTGCAGGGTTATAAACTCATTTGATTTACTGCAATTAGTGCCGGACTGCATGGGAAGACATGCTTGTTTCCTGCCTCTTTAGAGAAAATGGATCTTTGAATTTTAGAAGACCAAAATAAGCAATATTGTACAGAACGCTGGTTTTGTGCTTCTCTTTGCAATATGAATCATGTACAGACTTTTAAATGTAATTTATGTTTTATTACATTCTATATGCTTTTTTCTTGAAATATGTGGAGTTTGGGGAAAAAAAAAGACTTTATAATTTAACCAATTACCACATTCACATGTGGTGAAGTTTGATTGTATGACTGGCTCATCTTGTAAAACATGCAGACAGGTCCATACATTTCATGACTCTTTCTGCAATACAAACAATATGCATTCTCATTGTAGCATTGTTGTAACCAACACACACTATAGCTATAAGTTGCAAGTCCAACACTTGGAGTATTCAATAAAGTGATGCAAAAATTATGATTAAGTATGTTACTTTTATAGTTGCTATGACTGTTGTTTTTATCATGGAACTTTCTGGAAGAAGAAACGGCCACTGTTCCTTATGGTTGCAGGTTTCATATCAAAGCCGCAACATATTTTTTTATTGCATTTGGATTCACTTACATGTCATGCATCATTATGACGTACAGCCTGTGTCGAAGGCATGGCAGCATTACTTGCTTCCAGCGCTTCACTTGGATTTGGAAATGCACTGGTAGGAAAAATACGAGAGCTTTATTGCTTGTGTTAATATAATGTAGCTTTGGGTGCTATTAATAAATAAAAAATAAATAATAAATGTGAAGCTCATTTGCTTTAAGTCTTTATTTTGTTTCTTCTGGGTTTCTCATGTTCATGTATTCCATTTGGTAACTTCTTTTTCCTTCTTTTCTGATTTAATGGAAATGGAGAGTAGGTGGTCCAGCTAAACAACAAATACAAAGGAGAGAGACAAGTGAGTAAGTGGCAGCCAGTGCAAACTACTGCACAGCATGGGCTGAAGTCTACCCCACTTCCAACAGTCAAGCTCCATTAAGGTGCTTCATGGAGTTCAGGAAACTCTTAATTAGCCTCCTCAAGACTTGTAAATTCAAGCCTATAAATCACAGCAGTCAGAAAAGACATCCTGGATTTTTACCTTGTGTTTCCCATCTTCACTGACTTCACTGTCTGAGGGATGATGGAGAAGTATCTGATGCTCTAGGCCAGCCTTGGTGATCTGCAAACTACTGCAGAAAAGTTTCCTGCCATGTGTCAATAGGATGTACTTCCCTGGCCAATATGTGGTTGGATAGCCAGGAGAGAGCAAGGTGTTTATGAGGGTATTTTGGAGGTGTCAACTGCTTTCTTCAGCATCTTGCTAGTCCTCTGCTCTTCCTCAGGCTGTCTGATCTTTCTGAGAAGAGCGGACCTAGCTCTGGGAAAAGCAAGTAGAGTTCATGGTAGCATTGGTAATGTCCATGGCAGCCTACAGACAAGGCAGGATCAGGCCCTTGAGCATGTTCTGCCAGGACATTGAGCCGCAGGCAGTCCAGCCTTTATCTCTGATGTGCCAGTCTCTGTGCTGAACACACTCATTACATCTGAAGTGGATGGGACAAAGTGGGGAGGTAGGACGTGGGACACCGCTTGAACCCCATGAGTGGGTCCCTGCATGCAAGAGATTGGTGGGGGAATAGAACTGGGGAAAGAATTGCAAGAGGAGCTGCAGGATTGGTGGTGGTGGTGCCATAATTTGGGTGGGAAGTGTTCGCAGATGTGCATGTTCCTGCTCCATGACAATGCAGCCTGGCAATAGCATTAGGCTGAATCCAATGCTGGTAAAATCCAGCACTCAAGTTATTGCTGGGTGCATTCACTTCTTCTAACTGTTGGGACTATTAAATAACAAAAGTACAGTATAAATAGATGCATAAGAAACAGAGAATTCGCTATTACAACAAACTGATAAATACAGATATGCCCTATTATTGCCAAGTTTGATAGGCAGCTTAATTCCTGCACCACTGTCTAAATGCCACTAATTCAGCTTCATCTATTAACTTCCCTAAAGACTGAGCCAGAGGGACATGCTTCCAGGAGAAATATGAAGCCTTTGTGTCCTGTATTTGCCATGACTATGGATATGACAATAATTTTCAAAGGACAATTACTTCATGGTAATATCCCTTCAAACTTAAAACTAGCAATATGAATTTGAAAAATGTTTCTCCATTTGCTAAGGTGTTAATAAGATGTTACTTCATCTCCCATATTGGGAGAAATTGTCTCCCTTCGTGAACATGGGATTAGCAGGAAGAAGTCTGAGTTGCTCAGACAGAGTTTGAAGACACCGATTGAGTTGGAGTGCTCTCAGGAGATGTCAGACAGATGTCTGGCTGTTTCCCAAAACAGAATGAGAACGAAACTTCCAGCTAAAAGCCTGGTTACCTCTTCCAGTAAAATCAAGGTTAACTCTCTTGTAAGTCATAGTCTGACCTTGCAATAAGGGTTAACTCCTAGACAGGACAACTCCAGCACAGACTGTTCTCCAAAGTAACATTCCAGATATCCAAATGTGAAGAAAAATCCACTAGCCAAGTCCTCTTTTCAAGGAAATCAAGTATATGCCTCAGACATCCTTTCTGGAAGGAGCAATGTATTCTCTTGTTGTATAAATAAGTCTACAAACTACTAGTGGAAAGCCAGTAATCAGGATTTGGGTTTTGTTTTTTTCTCTCACTGGTAGTGGGAGGAGCAGGAGGAGCTATGCCTGGACAGCGGCTGGGCCAAACTGTTGTCAACAGTGAATTTTGCTGCCGTCTGTGAAAGCAGTGCCAGAGCCGTGCATTGAGGTTGGGCCTGGCAAGCAGGAGCCAGAAGGGTCCTGCTGGTGCCATCCGAACCACAGCTCCCTCCCGAGGGATTGCCCTGGCAATGGCAGGCTCTGCTGCATCCCTGGGCTTGTATGTGACCTTGAATATGAGCCAACCCCTGGGCAGTGTGTTAGTTTTTGGGGGAGAAAATTACCTGGAATATAAGGTCGTAACTCTGCATTTGGGGTAAGACCTGTGCGCATGTATGCATGTGGACATGCATACACAAAACAGCCATTGGAAATGAGTTTTCAGGCAGGTGGTCGTTCTGGGGTGCAGTATGCAGAGCCTCCACAGCCGGAGTTCACTGTCCAGATCCTCTAAAGTCAAGCATCGGGGCCACCACACACCCAGGACAGCCCCAACCCGAGGCTCCTGCAGGCCCTCTGCTTCCCCCAGAGCTCTGGCACTCTTCCTTATCCCAGCCCCACACTGCTGCTTGCAAATGAAATACCTACAAAGACATGGCTCTAAATCTTAGCTGAGTACTGCAAGGTTGCACAAGTAGAGGGAAGTAATATAACTGAGGTTATGGCAGGCGCTGGAAATAGCGTGGGGTTCACAGGGTTATAAATCTCCAGGAGGGTTGGAATTTAAAATTATACAATTGTGAAGGCACTCAGAATCAGATGCAGTTACTTCTCATTTCCATTGATCTGAAAGAGGAACTTTGTTTTATCTCAAATACAGCATACCTGATGGTTTAACTGTCCTTTTTTAAGACCTGTGGCTAAAATTGGAAATAACACATCTGTTATGAGGTTCTTTTGTTAGCTCTAAATGTTGTGGAGTTAGAAAGAAGCCAGATTAAAATTGCCACATTTATTTAATGAAGCCAAAGCTTGTTTCTACGTGCCAAGCAATATAATTAATCATAGTGGGATTTACAGTATGAACGCATTTCTGTTGCCACATATATTAGATTTGTTACTCAAAAACATATTTTTTACAGAAGCCACCCTCCACATAGTCTTTCAAATTTATTTTCAAAATTACTAAATAGTCTGCAGAGATTTGCAGAGCCATTGTAATTTGGATTTAGAACTATCAATTTTAACACTCTTACCAAGGAATCCAACTCTAATTTCTAGCATGCTTTAAAAGTAACTATTTGATATATCACCATCGGGTAATTCAAAAATGAATTCCTTTCAGAGTCGAAAAAAACATGGTAATTAATAAACAGGACGATGCTAGGAAAATAGGTAGCAACCTGGAGAAGTGATCACATAGGGACACTCGAAGTCATTTAAAAACAAGAGCACTTCAGTGTATAGTATTAATTAGATTTGGATATTGTATGATTTCAGCCAAGGCTGATTTTTTTACCCCAAACATAGTCTGAGGTTTTACAATTACGATAAAGATCTTTGCCTTGCTCTGTTGTTAATCCTATGAATACTTTTTTGTTGTTGTTTTTCTTTTTGCTGTCTGATGCGGTTTACCATTTAATTACTTTCATATCAGATTAAAAATATATTTGAGATGCAACCTAAAGTGCAAAATAGCTTGCAAAAGAGGAGATAGCTGCGTGCCTTTCACACTAAGGAGAGGGGATACTGTATTTCAGTTTTTCCCTGCTCTGTCGTCTCCACACCAAACATATGACTCCTTAGTCCTTTTTTTTTTT